TTGAGGGGGTTTGCCATTGCTCTGACCAGGGAACGAACCTACTACCTAGTAGTAGTACACACCTCTTACCACTCGGCTACAGCGGCTGTCAAATACGAAATACATATCGTAGAGACTAAAGGTGGCCACACTAACCGACTCGAAAGCAGAAAATAGTCAAAGAATCAAAGAACAAAGTTCTCATACAATGAAACTATGTACATATTTAGTTCATAGTTAATTCTCTTTTTACTCGTAAAATAAAAATTTCTAAAATAAATGTATTTTTTTATTAATTTTCGGTTTTTGTGTTTTCCTATTTCTATTGCTTTGTCTAGCCTATTTCGTTATTATATTTTGCCTTTTTTATAGGTCTTTAGGTCCTAAAAATCCGTTCCCTGATTATAACCCTATTAAAGAAAGACGTGTCTAACATATAGTACTGAACATTCACAAAAAGACGTTCTACAGTTTCTTCCCTTTCCTTTTAGTTATAGCTGTTGTATGCCAGTCCCATTCTAGCAGTTAGGTATTCAAAACCCAGTGTCCGCACAACTTCTTCCTGTCTCCTCTATGTGTTTTAGAAGTAAGTTTTAAGTAATTAATTGTTAGGTCACATAAACTGAGTTGAAGGGCCTTCCACCTGCGATTATACATGTTTAGATCAGAGGTTTTAGAACTTCTTTTTCCATTAAAGTTCTTCCAGGCTGGCTAGCAATCGATTTCGTTACTAAGAACCCATTTCTCCTAGTGCTCTTTAAAGCACCGCATGCCCTCTCTTGCCTACCTTGCAAATGCAAACTACTTTAGAACTTTGCCAAGTAGGCGGACTCGGAGATTTGAAGGGAGAGAAGCTGTTAATTTTCCATTCAATCTTCTCTCGCGTGATAATTTCGTTAACGACATTGGTTCGCCGCGTTGCCATCTACCACTGAGACCTGATTTAGGTGACAGCCTGAAAAATGGATACGACGATGAAGTTCTAATGTAAATGGTGATTCAATTATCTGGAAAGCAATAAAATGGCTTTCAAATATCCCGGCAATGTTGAATCTCTTACAAAATTGCTTCCTGTAAATGCTGCTTTAGGCTTGTGGGCTTTGAAGATCAAATTTTTCGTACATAAATTTTTTATGTTTATGTTGTGTTAAGTGTTATATATAAATTACAAAAAATACTTGAGAAGACTTTAAATCTCGCCCATTTCTTTTTAATACCCGTATAAATAGACGTCATCCTGTGCTGTTGTTGCTTTTCTCTACTTCGCCAAATTCTAATAATTTCGTTATCATTTTACCATAAAATTTTCCACCTTTTTATTATCTGTTATCTGGATGATTTTTTGTGTTATCTAAGGCGTCACAAAATGAATATATGAATGTTTTATTTATTTTATGAAATGTTTGCAAAATGCTTATTTTATTTTACAATCTAAAGCAGTATATTTTGTTTATTTGTAAATTCAATTAGGTAAATAGCACACATGTTTTTTTAAAGCTAGTGTTAAAATACATATATACATATTTACTAACAATTATGTACACAGGTGATCGAATGTAATACGCTTTACATATGTATGTTTGCTCATCAGAATACTTAATTGTGGGGCTTCTGTAGCGCGATAATCGAAGTTCTCTGAATTGATGACTAGCTGCTCATTTCTGAGAAAACCAATAGAACAAAAATAATGGGTAGGTTCAGAAGGCGCAGAGGTTGAGCGCAACCGTTGCTAAAAAAATCAGTGATCATAATGCGCCTTCTGAACGGCTTGATACATTAGCTGTCAAATTCAAAACACACAACATGTTGTCTCAAATGATCATGAAAATATTACGATTATCTAACACGCAACTGTTCAGTTGATCAGAAGTGCAAAACAACGCGTTCAGAAGGTGCAATCGCAACAGTTACTGAGCTGTGCGCCTTCTGAACGTGCCCGTTGTTACCAATTTTTAAGAACATGAACATGAACAAGAAATGTCGTAACCAAACGACATGTTGTTTTAGCCCATTTTCGAATGATTAGGTTAATAATATAGTGTGACTGTTATTTTCTTTTAATTTTCAATTCACTTTCCAGTGCAGTGCGATGATGGCTGAAATAATATCTAATTTTCACAGTCTGGCCTGTTAAATTGTTGGTTGTACATTAGACCGTACCACCTTACAAGCAAACAAAAAAAAAAAGCTGTGGTGGTTATGTACGTAGAGCAGGTCACTTGAGGTCAATTAACTTGGGAACAAAAAAATTATCAAAATTATTTAAGCTCCCAGTGTAAATGCCGACGATATGGTGAAAACTGCAAAAAACCGACCTCTCGAAATTGCGAGACTAGGCGCCACAAATAGCACCAAAATAAAATTTTAAGGTTAGAATTAATTTGTAAGTTGTGTCAATCATAGACAACTAAGAAACAGCTTTTTGTTAAGATGAGACAGAAGAGAGCTATATGAAGAGAAAAAATTGATTCGGCAATATAAAAAAGATCAGTACTTTAATAAGTTCACTCAGTGTTCGCTGCAAGATTTTGGAAGTCGTGGGTTCGAATACCATTGCCAGGAATTTTTTTCCATCTTTTATTCTTTTAAAAGTTATTTGAATTTTTTTATGCAATTATAGATGGTGTGACCTTTTTAAACAAAATTAAACTCCAAAAAATTTGATTAACTTGAAATACCATAAACAAAAAAGAGAATAAAATAAAGTTTAATAAAATAAAATAAAATAAAATAATGTTTATATTAAAAAAAAATAATAATAATACATTTAAAAAATATTGTTTGGAATCGCATGGAGTTGGAATCGCAATTGCGTTTACTACTATAACAACAAAAGAAAACTTAGAACCCTGTTTTACATTTTTAAAATCGCGTTCTCCTCATTTTAAAGTTAAAACTCTGTTTTTGCCATAACATGCATTTAAGTTTACTATGAAAAAGTTAAAATCGTGTTTACAATAAAACACAATCTTAACCGTTAAAACCTTTTTTTTAGCTTCTCTATGACTATGGACCTTTGGTTTTGGTTGTTTGCGTTGAATTCAGTCGTCTGTTTAGAAGAATTTCCAAACTTAAATTGATTGATTTGGCATGCCTACATAATAATCGATTCTTTGATACAATCAGCGCAATAATTAAACATTTACTCTATATTATATCTTTAAAAATTGTATAACATTTTCTGTACAAGTCTTCTCCTGGTAATAATATCTAGTCATGCAGCGTTTCACACCCCACAGCAATTACGGGTATCTTATTAGGTAAAATTCATAAATGACAGCGTGCTTGTAACTTTATCTAACTGAAGGTATTCAAATTATACAAAAATGCCTCCGCCGAAAAATTCCAATTATGTAGTCCCTCCCCATCAAGACTTCAAATAGACATCAATTCAAATGACTTCGGCACAAAAGATGCAGATGCTTTCACACTTGACTATGCTCATTCTTATATGTACTTACAATAATATTCTGGAAAATTCGTGAACTCATAGAACTGAATTGGCGGAAAAGTAGAAAAGAAGCATGAAAGAACAAAAGAACAATAGCAGAATTAAAGTGGAATTCAATTGAGACACTTCGAATGCGGATGAGTGCAGGTTAATGAATAATCACAGAAATGTGAATCGATATAAATTCATATCTACAGACATACATACTTAATAGGTATGTGGCAGCAATAAGGTTCGAGGGAGGGAAAGACGAGCAGATATGGTACGCTTTGGTTATTATTGTTTGTTGTTTTTTTTTGTACGGGCATATTCTCGTAGGCAAGAACATAGCGACGGTACTTTGGAAAAACCTCGTATCTCGAAACACTCTCAAACAACACTCTCTAAAAAAAACTCTCCATTAATTAGAGGAATTCATTTTTATTATTATTTTTTTACTGAATACTAAAGATTAAGTACTAAGGTTCACAATTAACGACTTAATGTTATTTACGCACTTAGGGCTGTTTTCTGAAGTAACCTTAAACTGTAAAGCTCACTTTTTATATAACGGTTAGATTAAAAATAAAGCCATGTCTAAAGTTAAGCATTTCTATTATCGGTTTTTGACATATGTATGCTTCTTGGAAGTAAACCAATTTTAAACCGAAAATAGAATACTTTACTTTAGACACAATCATACATTTCAATGCAACCTTTAATTTTAAAGTGAGCTTTAAAGTTACAGATTACTTCAGAAAACGGCCCTTAGTCGATAAAATTTCATGCGGGGAGTTGGCATGTAGAGAGTATTCGCTTAGAAAAACTGAAGACTCCGGTTCGGATCGCATCTGGGGCAAAATTTTATTTTTATTTTTTAAAAGCTACCAGTCGCTTTCATACCCGATCGGATATATAGGGGAATAATTAGTCTCTTTATAAGAAATGCTCGAACAGTTCTTTCCATATAAAAAGATCAAAAGTGGTGTTAGTCGCATGTTTTTTTT